CAAAAAAAAAAAAAAAAAAAGAAAGAAAGGGAGACACTAGATTCTGGACTGTGGTGAAAATCAACTGAGTATAAAATAATAGCTCATTGTCCTTGGACCTAGAGCCAAGGAGGCTGTTGCTGGCTTAAGAAATTACAAGGTGTCGGGTGCAGAGACTCATGCCTGTAATCCCAGTACTTTAGGAGGCCTAGATGAGAGGATTGCCTGAGCCCAGGAGTTTAAGACCAGCCTGGGCAACATAGCAAGAGCTTGTCTCTACAGTAAGTTGAAAAATTAGCACACCTGTAGTTCCAGCTACTTGGGAGGCTGAGGCAGGATAACCTGAATCCAGCAGGTTGAGGCTGCAGTAGCTGTGTTGGTGCCACTGCACTCAAGCCTGGGCAACAGAGTGAGACACTGATGGCAGTGAGAGAGATAGAGGTAGAAAGAGAAAAGAAAGAAAGGGAGAGAAAGAGAGAAAGACAGATAAGGAAGGAAGAAAAAGAAAGAAAGAAAAAATCACAAGGTCCAGGGAGCAACATCTGGATTGCAGATTTGAGGAGTGAGACTTGAGTAGGTGGAGACAACAGGTATAGACACCACTTTTCCTTTCTTTTTTCTTTTCTTTTTTTTTTTTTGTTTGAGTTGGAGTCTCACTCCGTCACCCAGGCTGGAGTGCAGTGGCATGCTCATGGCCACCCCAACATCGACCTGCTGGGCTCCGGCGATCCTTCCGCCTCAGCCTTCCAAGCTGCTGGAACTATGGATGCAGTGCAGCCAGAACTACAGGCACTCGCTACTGCACTCGGCTAATTTTTAATTTATTGTAGAGATGAGGTCTCGCCAATTGCCCAGGCTGGTCTCGAATCCGCAGGCTCCATTCGCCTCAGCCTCCCAAAGTGCTGGGATTACAGGCTGAACCACCAAGCCCGGCCTAGACACCTCTTTTCATGAGTTGTCTGTGCAGAAAGGGGAGAACAAAGATCAGCCAGCAGAGGCAGAGGGCAGGGGCTATCTTATTTATTAGGGGATTTATTATTGTTGTGATTTTGAGATGGGAGAGACTCAGGGATGTCTAAGTGCTGATGGGAAGAGACCAGAAGGGAGAGGTTGGAAGTCCAGTGGAGAGAGAGGCCAGGGTAGAGGACACATGGCTTCCCAAAGAATATCAGCAGTAGGAGAATTGACATGTGGGCAGGCAAAAGGGATGGTAATTATAAGTAAGGGGGTAGGAATCAGAAATCCTATGCTAGCCGGGCTCGGTCGCTCAGCCTATAATCCCGCACCTTGGGAGGCTGAGGTGAGTGAATTGCTTGAGCCCGCGGGTTCGAGACCCGCCTGGGCAACTTGGTGAGACCTCATCTCTACAACAAATCAAAAAATTAGCCGGGTGTGGTAGCGCGCACCTGTAGTTCCAGCTACTTGGAAAGCTGAGGTGGAAGGATCGCCAGAGCCCAGCAGGTCGAGGCTGCGGTGGCCGGGAGCGGCCACTGCACTCTAGTCTGGGTGACAGAGTGAGACTCCAACTTAAAAAAAAAGAAAAAAGAAATCCTATGCTGAGAAATGGAATCCAGCTGTGAGTTCCAGGCTAATTGTAGGAGTGGGAGACAGGTCAGTGAGAGAACAGCTGGGGTTTCTGGCACAACCTGGCAGGGAAGCTAAGCAAGAGCCTTTGGTTAAAGAGTCAAGAGACCTTGTGTCTCTTCAACTTCTAGTGTAACCTTGTCAGCTGCTCAACCTCTCTCTATGCTTTAGTTTGCTCATCCACAGAAAAAATAGAGATAAGAGTAGTACCCACCCCCTAGGGTGGCTATGAGGATACATGTAAAGTGTGTGACGTATATTAAGTTCTCAGTAAAAGTAAGCCATGATTGTTCTTGCAGCTACTTTTTATTATTGGAGAGTGATTAAAAACATGGTCCCTGCCTGGGCAACATAGTGAAACCTCTTGGATTATGAAGAAACAAGTGAGAGATGTGACAGGTTCCCGAGGCTTTTTTCCTCCAAAGCTCTCTTTCAGAAACGTGTTTATTATAGAAAATTTCAAGTTAGGAAACCTCATGAACCCATCACAGTTAAAAATATTTTGCTGGCTGGGCTCAGTGGTCCCAGCACTTTGGGAGGCCGAGGCAAGTGGATTGCCTGAGCCTGTGGGTTCAAGACCTACCTGGGCAAATTGGCGAGACCTCATCTCTACAATAAATAAAAAATTAGCTGGGCATGGTAGTGCATGCCTGTAGTTCCGGCTACTTGGAAGGCTGAGGTGGAAGGATCGCCGGAGCCCAGCAGGTCGAGGCTGCAGGGGCCAGGAGCAGCCACTGCACTCCAGTCACCTTTTCCACCCACTTATTTTTAACACTGGAGAATTTTAAAGCAAATCCCAGACCTTATTGCTTATTTCTCTAGCAAAGATCTGAATGTATATTTTTGTTGTTTTTGAGTAGGAGTCTCGCTCTATCGCCCAGGCTGGAGTGCAGTGGCAGGCTCATGGCCATTGCAGCCTCTACCTGCTGGTTTCAGGCCAACCTTCTGCCTCAGCCTTGCAGATAGCTGGGACCACAGGCGTGCACCACCAAGTACGGCTATTTTTGTGTGTGTGCGTGTAGAGATGAGGTCTCACCAATTTGCCCAGGGTGGTCTCGAACCTCTGAGCTCAGGCAATCCTCTCGCCTCTGTCTCCTGTAGTGCTGGGATTACAGGTGTGAGCCACCACGCCCAGCTGTTGTTTTTTTTGAGATGGCCTCTCACTATGTTTCCCAGGTTGGCCTCCAAATCCTGAGCTCAAGGGACAGGATCTTCTCGCCTCGGGTTTCCCAGGAGCTGGGACTACACACACGCGCCACAAGTCCTGGTTAAAATATGTATTCCTGATAGAGATGTAAGGTTCACAGTGGTTTCTGAGTACCCCCCGCCCCCACCCTGACTCCCGGATTCCAGCCTTAACCCCTGCCCAGTCTCCCTTCTGTAGGTGAACGGATGCTCAGCAGACTGCCGGCTCAGGTGTGCGGGTGCGGATGCGTAATTGCGCGCCGGGCGGAGCGGTCCCCCTTTCTCCCGGCGCTGGTCGGGCCCAAGTGGGTTGTGTCCCTGCGGCTCTCCCCGACGCTATGAGGCCACCTCCAGGCAGCCAGCGGGGACTACAACGGCATTGCAGCCGACGACCTGATGCTCCCGGGAAGACTCCAGAATGCCAGCCTAATCGACTTGTTCAGAGCGCGCCGGACTCGGTTTGAACAGCCGGTGAGGACCCTCGCATAGTAGTCGCCCCGAGATTCTGTTCCCACTCGCAGAATGCACGATCAGCCCAACTCCCGAGACACAGGCTGCCGTTTGTAGGCTTGACGATCACACCCTCTCTCTGCCTGTCTTCTCACAGCAAGAAGTTTGTCCAACAGGTCGTGGCCCAACATTTCACTGCATGTCCTTGTCCCTCTGCGCGTGCCCAGGTTGGAATCCCCGACATAGAACTGTCCTGGAGGAGCGAATACACGGAGCTTCCCGAGATGGTTTTAATCAGTAACTGATGGCAAAAACATGCGTGCGCCTGTCCTCTCTCCCAGTGCCTCTGCGCCCTTAGGAACCCAAAAGTCTGAGCCCCATGGGTTGGGTCAGGATCCCCCGTCTCCTCCAACCCGAGACCTAAGAGTCCGAGCACCTAGCCCTCTCCTCCTCCGGGACTTAGGTGCCACGGTCGCCAGAACTGCAGTCACCTCAAGGACACCGATCCCCCTCTGGGGAAGGTGGGAAAACAGCGGCTCCGCCCCTTAGTCGCAGGCAGCCGGAAGGAACTGCGGCGATAGCCAATCGGGTGCGACGGCGCCGGATGTCGGAGGCGGGAACCGGGGCTTTGGGATAGCGCGGGGCGGAAGTGGCTGTTTCACCGTGCTGTGGTGTTCCCTGCCGTTCTCGCGGTTTTGCGGTTCGTTGGGCTGGCGCTGCGTGTGCCGCTGCCAAGGGACTGCCATGAGCCGGCCCAGCCGGCTGCAGAGGCAGATTCTGACCCTGTATCGCGAGCTGCTGCGCGCCGGGCGCGGGAAGCCGGGCGCCGAAGCGCGGGTGCGGACAGAGTTCCGGCAGCACGCCGGTCTGCCGCGTTCCGACGTGTTGCGCATCGAGTACCTGTACCGCCGCGGGCGGCGACAGCTGCAGCTGCTGCGTTCCGGCCACGCCACGTCCATGGGCGCCTTCGTACGCCCGCGGGGCCCGACCGAGGAGCCCGGCAGCGCGGGGGTGCCGGGCGTCGCGCCCGACGATGGTGACGGTGCGAGGAATCCTCACGGCGGAACGGAGACACGGGATAACCGGCCCGACGGACGGTGACAGAAGAGCTCGCTCCATGGCGCAGGCGAGCCAACAGGCCCACCCGAATGCGTGGGGGGAACCACGGAACCCACCTCCTGGAAGGTCAGGTCTTGGATAGGGGAATCAGGGAGTCCTCCTGGCGACGTGCGAGACCTAGAGAGCCCCGTGATGGATTGCGAGAGATGCCCGACCTTTCCCGATGTTTGTTGACAGGGCGTCCCCTTTCCCCCACGAGCGCTGGAACACGGCGGGCTGGACAGTGTCGAGCTGAGAGCTACTTACCCCAAGGCATGGGGAGCCAGGACACCCCCCTAATGGAGAGTCTGAGACACCCTTTTCTAGACTCCTGAGTCCTCGAGACTTCCCTCTCCTGTATTCACTCTGCGAAGAGCAGATTTTTGCCAGGAAGGTTTTGGGAAGATGCCCTGATGAACAGTAATAAGCCTGGAGTCCTCTTTGGAAAATCTTCACCTCATTCATTGTGACAAACCAGGCCCAGAAGCAAGGGGCTAGGGGGTCTCTCGACCCCACTGTTCAACTAAATACCTCTCAGGGCCCCTACTTGGTGGTTCTGAGGGGCACCCCCGACTAGCATCCCTTTGCCTGTCAGACTGTTGGACAAAGGGAATAAAATTAGGTGTGTGTTTTCTTCCCCGTTAGTAGTCTTAATGATTTTATGCGTTGTGATTTTTGAAAACACACACACACACACTGAGAAGTGACCCTCTGGGAGGGGATGCTTGTGGGGGGGTGACTTTCTTTTGGAGCCCTCTAGACTGGCAGATTGGTTGAAGCAGCATAGTTCTTTCTTCTGGGCAGATCGTGGAGAGACTCCAGTTGACTCCTTAATGGAGGTCCACTTTTTTGTGCAGGGGAGGAAATTGTGGAGCTGAGGAAGCCTGGCTCATAGCCCCTGAAGCAGTAGTGGAAGTCTCAAACCTAGTGCCTTCGGGAAGTTTCACAAAACCAGGAAACTGTTCCTCAAACCTGGCTGAAGAGTCCAGCCTCAGCTACATGCTGGGAGGTGTGTCGGCAAGGCCCAGGGGTGGGGGAGGGGAGATGGGCCCACAGACCACAGGCACACTCCCATGTTCCCATATGGACCTGCCCCAGACATTTTGGGGTACTGTGTTTTGTATTCTTGAGCTGTATTTGCACCCGTGTCAAGTTAAATACATGGAAATGGGATATTGCAGATGCAATTGTGGGAAGGAGGAAGACCTCAAAGAAGGAGCCCAGTCCTCAGATTGAAGGGAGGATGGACGGAAGAGAGGCGTCACTGCCCTAATCCCAGTGGGGGAGCCAGGTGCCCAAGCAGTTATAAAGTAGAGTTGAAATCTGAAGAATTAGGAGTTTGCCAGAAGGTGGGGATAGGCTTCCAAGCAGGATGACCAGAGTGGGCAAAGGCCTGGAGAGGCCAAAGGGGAGAAATACAGTGTTCCAGCTGGGGCCTGGAGTGTTCCAGAGTACAAGACTCTGGGTTCTCTTGCACGTGGCTTCTCTTTCAGCTTTGTCTCCTGTTAGTCCTCACCATGGGACCTCAGACACTTTGTTCATCTCTCAGCCTCAGTTTTTTTCATCAGGGTGATTCTTTTAATCTTGCCTGACTCTATCGCAGGATAAAAGCCAAAGACCTGAAAGTGGCAATGGAGTTTTACCCATCCATCCAGCATTACATCTCCACCTGCACCTCCTTCCACTCCCTCACTTCTGGATCCATAATCTTGAACCCTGATAAGCTCCAGGATGGGAGCTTCTGGCAAGGCTGCAAGCAATTGACTGAGTTTCTACTGGGCCTGGGCATCCGGGTCAGGAAGGGAAGAGATCTGAGGATCTCAGGGAGGAGGTGTACAGGTTAGTGGTAGCAAAGAGCATGGACCCTGGAAGTTAAATGGAAGACGGGTTTTTTTTGTTGTTGTTGTTTTTGAGTTGGAGTCTCACTCTGTCGCCCAGACTGGAGTCCTTCCACCTCAGCCTTCCACCTCAGCCTTCCAAGTAGCTCAGCCTTCCAAGTAGCTGGAACTACAGGCACGCGCTACCACACCCAGCTAATTTTTGATTTTATTGTAGAGATGAGGTCTCGCCAAGTTGCCCAGGCGGGTCTCGAACCCGCAGGCTCAGGCAATCCACTCACCTCAGCCTCCCAAATGTGCGGGATTACAGGCTGAGCCACTGAGCCTGGCTGGAAGACAGGGTTTGAATCCCAGCTCCAATATTTACTGATGATCACAGGCAAGTGATTTAACTTCCTTGTGCCCCAATGCCCCTATCAATGAAATGGGCATAATAATTGCACCTCCCTGATGTGGCAGTTATAATGATGCAGTGAATAAATTTGTGGTGGCAGCCAACAGTGATGCCTGACCTCCACCATGACTCCTGCTCTCTTGAGTTCACTTGTAGCTGCAGAAGCTAGTTCCCAGGAGACTGCAGCTTCCTACCCTGAGCCCCTGCCTCTCTTGTTCTGCTGGAGGGTTTTCTGGGAGTTCCTGGAGGTGGGCTGATGCCCTCAGAGGCAACCCTCAGCTTGTGGGGGAAAGTTGGATGAGTACCCTGGCCTGCCTCTTGGTGGAATGATTGCAACACACTATTCCATAAACACCTTTTCTGACTCTCTCTCTCCCCATTCCCTCACCCCTGCCTCCTGGGATCACCTCTCAGATGAACCACCACCCATGTCTTTGGCTCAGAGTAAGCTTATGTGTCAGGCATGGGAACCATGCCCAGAACTTGGCCAATACTGTGTGTGTGTTTGTGCAGTTTTTTTACTCTGCTAAGGCACAGGGTCAGCATTTCTCAATTCTTTGACCCATCTGTTAAACAAGCAAGAATCTCCTGATCTAAGATAATGGCTGTAAAGGACATAGGGGGATTGGAGTAATTTGGAATACAGGTTGTCAGTTAAAAATAAAATTGACTTTAAAAATAAATAAATAAATACTTGACTTGAGTTGTTACATTTCCTGAATTTGATAACTGTGACAGTTGGTAAAGAAATGCCCTTGTTCTTAAGACATACACACTGAGGCATTTAGGAGTTAAGAGGCATCATGTCTACAATTAGCCTCAAATATGCACATATGTAAATATAGTAGCCAGTATGTGAAGGGTAGAGCTGGTGAAGCAGAATGTTAACAATTGATGACTCTGGGTAAATGGTAAGTGGAAGTTTGTTGTACCAGTCTTAAGTTTTCAGCCCGCTGGGCTCGGTGGCTCAGCCTGTAATCCCCTGCCTTTGAGAGGCTGAGGTGAGTGGATTGCCTGAGCCCGTGGGTTCGAGACCCACCTGGGCAACTTGGTAAGACCTCATCTCTACAATAAATCAAAAACTTGGCGGGCATGGTGGCATGCGCTTGTAGTTCCAGCTACTTGGAAGGCTGAGGTAGAAGGATCGCCGGAGCCCAGCAGGTCGAGGCTGCGGTGCCCGGGAGCGGCCACTGCACCCCAGTCTGGGTGACAAAGTTTTCAGCCATTTGAAACAAAATTACAAAAGTCAAAAACTAAATAAGTCAGTAGTTGTATCGGAGTCTCACTGGGCACCAGAGATCCTCCTTGGGCACCAGAGATTTTCACACGCTGCGCATTTTTTATAAAAGTGAAGCCTGTATTTTCTGAGACTTTATAAAACTTTTTTTTTTTTTTTTTT